CAATAGTCAAAGTCGGCCATGTTTGTTCATATGAGACCCATATATTCACACATGCGCAGCGCGACGATACCGCGCTTTAAGTATAATTATTTGCATTGAACTGAGCATCTGCTAAAATGATTTTACAAGCTTTTCACAGTTAACATTTTATATCAACTTTTTAATTAATAGTGTTTAGCCTCGTCTTTATTCGTGTTTATTAATTCATTACCCCAATAATCACATGCATCAAATCACATTAATTTGGCACAAAAAGTTGAAGGAAACAATGTACATCACAAATGCCAGTGTGATTAGTATATTTAGTAGGCCTAACTGTTTCAAGTTATTTTTTGTAAAGGGAGCCATATTGACAAAAAAGACATAATTTTTCATCTTGATGGTAACCACGCACACCTCCATGATCATTGTGACTGTTCATTGTCAATTGTGCATTCATGTAGTAATAGTATGTGTATGTGTAGAACTGCTGGTTATTTAGAAATTGTCTTCATTTGAACTATTGAAAGTAAGCCTCAAAGTTCCGTTGGATTCATGAAAACATGTACCCGTCATTGAAGCATTGAATATCATACATAGAATGATTCAGCACACTTTAAAATATAAAAAAATAAACAGATTTAAAAAACATTGTCTGCCGACAAATCTACATGCGCCTAAACGTCAGTACAACCTCCCAAGGTAAGAGAGTTAGCATGTTTAGTACTCTGAAATGTGCAACCCTGTTTCAGAGAAGGTAACCAAATTCTACACTAGCTTCATTTCTCTAACGGTGTGCTTTATGATTGCATGTGTGCTTCTCAGTCATGTAGGCATAATATAATTATATTGTGTGTTTCGATTGCAGTTTTCCTGTGATTTATGGTGCAATGTTGTTGACAAAGCTACCAGGGTTGACGGTTGTAACAACGAAGAAGTCATGCCTTCGTACGATAATTCATCATGTGGTTACAACATGGTAAGTTTGTTCTATCAAGAACAAAGTTTGTTCTAACAGTCTATCAAGATATATGCATGATATTTTGATGTGTACTGTTCCTGTACAAACTCATACAGCCAACCAACCTGAACTCCCAAATTAAACTATAATGTTCGTTTAGGTTGTTCTAGTCAACTAGTTCACTGTCAGACAAACGTATGTAAACTAGATACGAGTTATACCCCTTTGCCTCCACGCTACTTAGATTCTATTTGGGGATCGACACGCAGTTTTTTTCCGATGGGCTGGCGAACTTCAATCTTGTATTATTTCCGAGTGTGGCAAGGAACAACATTAACACGACTAACCATTTGTGAACATCTAGTATTTATAAATCAAGCTTAAATTACATTATGTTAAAATGAGCTGTAACCATTTCATGTGACAACACATCAACCCATGTATATTTGAGCCTAGCTAACTTATTCGCAAATATCACCCTCATCCTGAAAAGTTGTCATTTATTTATCCCACGTTATTGATCGTCAGATTTTTGTCTGGAATATATCCATGATGCTCCGTGTGTGTATGACTGATTGAATGTTTATAACAAACGATGGCGATGTCAGTCAGTATACTGCATATTTTCTAAATACCGTTGAGGGCGTCACATCAACTGAAAGAGGTTATAAACTGTAATTTTTACAATAAATATTTATAGTTATTAGTACATATGTGTGCATATTAATATTAGCTTTATGTCTTAACATTTACTTTCTAGATATGCGATGAATTACAAGGTTGTATTTGCCCTGAAGGCGAGGACTGCATTGGCGGCGATGGTAATCTAATTTTATTCATAATCAGAAAAACTTGTGTGCATAGTTAGCATAAATTAACATATCATTTACGGTTTCCCTGTTTTTTATGACACTCGAATTTGGTCATGTGATAACTAGATTACCGACTGATGTAACTTATTTGTATACAGCGGTTTTATACTCGTGTGCTTGGACATAATACTAACCCATGGCGTCATTCTGTCAACTGGGTCCACCGTGACCTCAGCTGACTATCAACAATTTAACCCTAACTGTTTAAGGTCATATTCTCACATTACGTTTGAAAGTATTTCTTTCATTTAGTAAACGAATCATATGTTAATTATTGATGTAAGTACATATCAGGCATATATGAACCAATGAGCATCGATTTAATTCCAGCCACAATTTTGCATATTTCTATAGATCTCACTTAAATTTTGTTGATAATGTTGGTCCAAATTTACACAATTTCCTATTGCTGACAGAACTTGCACACAATTTGGGAAAAAAAGAAACATGAACAAAATTGTTCACGTTTTGTATGTGTGAAAAGCTGACTGTGGCACTAAAGTAAGTTAACACGTTCTGCTTTTCTTATTAATCCAGATACTGGTACATCTGGCGTATCATCGTATAAAGTTATTACGACACTGGGGCATGCCTTGGCGGCCTTGGAGTGCATCGCCTACGGAGGTACACTTGCCGAAATAAGAAATATTGAAACCCAGAACCACCTTGAGAGCTTTCTTGAATCTTATACCCAACATGATAAATTTTACTTCGCTTTAAGTCGGGACATAACAACCGGGTACCGATGGAAGTCAAATGGAGACCCACCTGTGTTCTTTTACTGGGTTTCTGGGGAGCCCAATGACGTAGCACACGAGTGTGCGGTATTGAGGTGAGTTAGGCTGCACCCTGAGTTGGTCATCGTGTGTTGTGATATATAAGACTCCTTTAAAACTCAAATGGCCACCGAGATGTCGTCGGGAGTAGAGAGCCACAGAAATGTATTTCCTCACTCCCGAAATAGTATTCAATTCCCAGTACCTCTGTTCGATTCGACACTAACCACGTGACTTTTGAGCTTCCGGGGTCGACATGTTTGACGTTAGACAGTACAAACCATACGTAGTGCATGGTGTTTTAATAGAATGGCAAACGAAAGTGCAATGAATCGTCTATTCAACCATCATAGAAATAAAGTCATATTTACCATCCTGTGTGTCGTGTATTTTTACCGAATAAGATTATACAAATGCAGTATTCACATCTTTTTGGTGTTAAATTTGTTATCTCTATTCGAACTTATGTTGTCCATTTGTACACGACACTGGAACACACCAACTTCTCAAAATGTATAGAATATTGGTTGATCAATATAATAACCCCCAAACATACCAGTAATGATGGGAATACAATTCTTACAGCCCTCATTCGACGTAGAATACGAAACAGAAACTATTTACCCATATAACCGCTATTTTTTCCGGGAAAATATTTTTTTATTCAGCATTCTATTTTTCCTGTGTCAGTTCAGTTATGAGACCAAGTTCAGATCATTTCCACTTATTTTTCTGTCCACTTAAAACCCGTTAACTTATTGTGCGACTTTTATTATGTCTCATTACTATGGTGAGCTTGTTTTTATTTAACGTTTTTTTTTTTAGAGAATAAAACCCAGTGAACTCTATCTAAGTTTTAATAAGATTGACATTTGCACTTACTCAAATATTTCAACATATTTTGGACAACCTCTAACAAATTAATACCTGTACACTAGTAGAACGTCAATTAGTTCTTCGATTGTGTTATGCAAATGTGGACTTTTTTCCCGTGATGCAATGCGCAAAACACAGAGAAAAATTCCCTACTGTCATCACATTTATTTTTATGTTGGTTATGGAAATGGAACAGTAGAATATTTGGAACTAGATACAAATGACCACGCCCACATTTCCGAAACCACGCCCAAATTGTAATTCGATGTTCAATTAACAGTTAAAAGAACTCCGAGTTACGGACTACATACATTTGTTCTTTTGTTTAACGTTCAAATTTATAAAATCGAATTTTAATTAACTCTCAACCGAACTTCGAGTCACGGGAAACGTAAGACGTTGAACAAAACAACAACTTTATGTTGATCTTAACTCGAAGTTCGGCCAACTGTTAATTAAAGTTCGAGTTACTAAATGTGGACGTTAAACAACATAAGCGATTTGTGTTGCCCATAACGCGAAATTTGGTTAACTGTTAATTGAAAATCGAGATATAATTTGGGCGTGGTTTTGCAAAAGTGGGTGTGCTTCCTAAAATATGAGCGTGGTCATTTGGAACAGTAGATGCGATAACGGTAATGGAACGCTGTTTTGTCAGAGAGGGCGCAAAAGCAAGTCGCGGGTCTCTCGCGCTTCCAACGAGATTTCAGCGGCCATTTGCGAATAAGGTAACTTTGCATATTTTGTTTGAGTGGCTGTATGTTAATAATTAACTCACTTATTTGTATTTATATTTTACAGTCGATCAAACGGTTACAAATGGCTAGATTACGGCTGCGCTGAGTTTATTGGAGCAGTCTGTCAAATATGTAAGAACTGTTTAAAAAGGGGGAGTCGTCACCTGTGCGTGTGGTAGATGGCCATAGCGTGTCATTGTTTACAAACAAGCGTCTACCCATGAATCTTTGCATTTTTAGCGTGTGTTTTTATCGTCGCTTGGGTCTCAATTCCCGCGCGTGCGCAGGTGACGACCCTCTCGCTTTAAATTCTGCAATGGCAATGTGCCCTTTAGTCAATTTAACTGTTTAATTAACTAATCATTTGCTTGTCAGTGTATGTGTGACTGGTAGGTGTACACAGTCACTATTTAAATAAACTCAATAAAGTGAATAATTTGCCGTCGAACACTTCTTCAATATGGTGGCTAAATTCAGCAATTACCACAACCACCCGCCTATTCGCGCCATATATTCAGGTCATTTGCATATAGACAAAATAATCTATGGCGCACGCGCATATCATACAAATATAGGCACAACTGACTTGAAATAAATTGCATATTTCAGTGTCGCCTGTGACGATGACGTACTGGGTACCCCAGCCGACGTACAATCGGGAGGCAGCTAACAACATGTGTAACAGTTATGGCGGACGCCTTGCAAAGGTCGGGGACGCACAGACACAGACACTGGTTAACACTTTTCTAAATGAAATTGGGATTCCGCTGGCTTCCAAGAAGGTTTACTTCAGTCTTGGACAAACCGATGGCGTATGGCAGTTTCCTGACGGGCAGGAGATTCGTGAGTTTAGCAACTGGCTTGCCGAACCCACCGCTGAACACAACTGTGCAGTTATGGAGTAAGCGATATTTCTTTCTTTTTTAAAAAAACACACTGCATATCAGTCATCAAAACGACATTTGTGTTGATAAACATTGATTTTCCCACAATCCAATGCGCTCTTCTAGTATCTAGTATAACAGATAACTTTGAATGATCAAATTATTTGAATATAACATCCTTGAAAACGTTGAAGACTACATGCATGTTATCAAAACAAATAAAAACACTCATTTGTTGTACAAACAAATCAATGAGTTTGGCCTATGGGTATGCTAATTTTTCTCTTCACAAAAAATAGAATCACGCATTCACGATTCACAAATAATCCTTCTATAAAAATCACGACTCTCAAAAAATACAAACCACCGAACTTTATTCCTTTAGCTAGCTCGTTCCTTCGTTTGTATGTTTCTCCGAACTTCAAATATTTGATTTGGAAAATCCCCTTATCACTTTTAATCTATGTGACCATGTATAGTGTATGGAGAAGCTTAAGGGGCTGTGATTACAAAATACGATCGTTTTTATATATTCCTTTGACAGAAAACAGTAAATTTACACATACTTTTTATCTAATTTACAGTGTCGACAGCGGCTACAAGTGGGAGAGTGTGGACTGCTCAACGTATTTAAACACTCGCCATGTTTGCGAATTTGGTGAGTAACAATCGAGGAATAATTATCATGTTTATCGTGAGTGTGTGAGTGTGTGTGTGTGGGTGTGGGTGTGTGGGTGTGGGTGAGTGAGTGAGTAAGCGAGTGAGGTTGGTTATCTGTTTCAAACAGGCTATTTAGGTCTTACAAACGCTACAATGTACTCGGCATACCGTTTATAAGCTCAAGATAGTGTACTCCCATGTGAAATACGCCACTCATATCCACGTCTACCAATGTCCGTTCTCATCTGTATTCGGTTGTTTAAATATATTTTTGTTTTTTTTTGCAGAATGCGTTCTGAGTGCTTCCTGGTGCCATAACGGCGCAATTGATATGGACGAGAACGGCAACACATGTGCATGTATATGTGACATCGGATGGAAGGGACCATTCTGTCTACGTGAGTAATATGCATTCTTCGAAATAATCCATAATGCCAGTTATTTTATTTTTGACAGGGCTATAATATTATTAAAGGTAGATTTTCAATATCTACCTTTATTATTATTTGTTAATTCCATTATAATTTAACAAAAAGTCCGAAACGGCACGGATAATGATCTTTGGATTCTAATTTAGTGACTTTTCAGTTCAATAAAAATGTGTCCATTCTGTATAAAGTGGTGCATTGTACCATAATGCATTGCGTATATGCGCATATACATGCTCAGCGGGGCTTAATTTGAATTTTATACAAACTGTTTTAACCTTTGACTGGAATTTGCTCCGTGACATGTGGGACATGTGACAATATTTAGACAAGCAAAATTCTGAATTACCTCTGATAATGGAAACATTATAGTTAATTCAGTGAGTCTCGTACCTCTCTTGGTGATGGGACAAATGGATTTGTGCAAATATCACACATATTAAACAAAAGAAAGCAGAAGAAATTGCTTCATCTTCGAAAGAAACAATTGAAATAAAAAACTAAGCAAAGAAAAAAAAAACTATATTTTGTAGTATCTTTCCTCCTTTTTCTGACCACCTCCTTGCCTCTATGATCATGAAATGGAATCGCCTCTCCTTGATGATATATGTCTTCTGATGTTTGCACACGTCACTTTATATGCGTGGTGATTGTATGGTTGCACAATAGACTATGTAAGTTTCAGTCTTAGTTTCCGGAGTGGCGTATTTGATCGGAAGCAGGTCATTTGAGTTGTCTCTTGTCGAGATAGTCAAGTATTGAACGTGTTTGCTTTGAGAGGCAATGTGTTGTATTTATGCGGTGTATATTTCTCTATTCACACAGAACCGGAAACACCTGTCCATTCGTGGTACAGTATGTCGACAGATACAGCCACTTTTTATGAAGCACAGGCAAACTGCTCTTCCCTCGGTGCCAAATTATCGCCAGTGCTATCACCGGAAATGTTTCAAAACGTCGGCGACTTTGCTGCAGCTAATCTCGAGAGCGAAGTAATTGTGGGACTGTACAAGGTTGGGGATGCGTGGATGGCAGATGGAAACCAATTTCAAGGGGCGTTTACGTCATGGTACGGCGAACAACCACTAGACTACGAATGCGCTGACATCAGGTAATTGTCTTGATCAAAGTAAACCATGTAGTATTCATCGACATAGGTGGCAAAACGGCTTGACATCAACTTCATTTCGACATAGTATAGAAAGCAAAGTGTGATTAAGGAAAAAGTTTTTAACCCATGTTTGGATATTATCGGGCTTCAATTAGTTATTACCATAAATATTAATAATTAATGCATTCCAAGTTGTTTTGTACATATGTATAGTAATTCACATACGCATGATACATTTAAGAAAACCGGAGCTGTCCTAATGTTCCATTTCCCAGTTTGATTTATATACTAATTGTCCCAGGTTGCGTTGACGCTACTGATTGAATTTTCAACACATGATTGCTTCCTTCGAGTCATATTTTTCACACAAAATAGAAATTCACATTCGATGATAAGTATTTGCATACAACACCTTTTGAGAGCATCAATGTCATTCTAAACTGCCGATATATAAAGAATTTGTGTTTACAACAAGAATTTGATAACCGTCACGTGATATGGCTTGATACCTTAGCATAAGAATTATACTGATTATATTGTATTGTGGCCTATTTTAAAATAAAGTAAAAAAAAAACTTTAAAAGCATCCGTCATATATGACCTGTTTTGTATACTGGTAAACATATGTTGAATTGATTGCCAAATGTAAATGTCGATAGGGTGTTTTTTGCTGTGTTTATAAACGATCCTAGATGGAAATCACGTAATATCTCAGAAAAGCAAAAAATAGAAAAGAAAACGGGAGACGATTTACAGGAGACTGACAGAAATATGTTTATCTCCATTGAACAACTTTGCTGACAGTCGAGCACATACAAAAAGCAAATTTGTAATAAGATGATAAATGTGGTATAAAGGTAGTTAATCTAACCTCAAAGACATTCCACTACACTACCTTCGAAACTCGGAATCGTTTTATTTTATTACATCTTGCTCAACATCAACATTGCAATCAAGTATATTGATTATGATTTCCAATTTGGATAAACTTTTATCCTCAAATGACAGCTTTGAATTCCTTTGTACATGTTTTGTGAGAGTTATTCCCACATAAGCATAACCACTTTGTTTTGTTTATTCTTTATGCATGTTGGCAGATTTGTGGACAACGAGTGGATGATGTACGGGCGGGAATGCGCAGTAGGTTCTACGAAGTATATGTGCGAGTTCGGTAAGTTGTTTATGAATTGGAGTTAGAGTTTCAACAAATTCCCGGACGTGAATACAGAAGAAATTATATTTGAAAATAATCAATATTCAATTAAATTGTGTTTGTTCAAATATGTTACAAATTAAACTAAATTGAACAGAGTTGTCTGCAAAGTTGGAAAGAGGAAAAACAATTCTAAAGGTTTGAAAAATAAACTGATAAAACGGAAAAGTCGTCTGCAAAATTAGGAAAGTCGCTTTTAAAGGTTGTTTGAGAATTTCAAAATATAAATTAGAAGACCGAACAGTCTTCTTCAATTTCAAGAAAGTTGATTTGGAAGACGAGGAAGTTTCTTCGAAAGTTTACAAGACGGAGAAGTAGTTTATTAAGTTTAAAATATAAGTTTGTGGAATAAACTGAGAGGAAGGAACAGTCGCTTGCAAAGCTACATACGTTGCCTTATAAAGCGGAAAGATTGTTTGAATGTTTCAAATAATTAATTGAAAAGACTGGAAGTTGCTTTGGAAAGACGGGAAACATCTGCCAAGTTTACTATAGAGACTATGCGTGAAAGAAGTATAAAAACTTGAAAACTTTGTTTTGGAAGGTGGGTAATTTGTTTAAAAAGTACAACATATAAATTGATAACACGGGATACGTCTGCTATGATGCTGAAGCGGGAAACTAGTTTGAAAAGGTCGACATAAATATGATGAAAAAGTCTTCAGCAAGTGTTCCTGTGAAGTGCAAGAATTGTTTTCAAAAAATGGTCTGAAAGTACTAAAAAATCGTCCACAAAGTTCGGAAAGTTGATTTCGAAGATGAAAACCTTGTTTGAAATGACCGAAAAATCATTAGTTAATTGAGAGAATGAAAAAATCGCCTAACAAACTTAAGTGCGAAAAGCTTGTTTTTTCAAAATACACTTGTTAAGGTAACATGCCTTGCAAGACGAGGACGTTGTTTGAAAAGTTTGAATACTAGTTTGGGAATATAAAACAATCGTCTGCAAAGTTGATTTGGAAGGACAAAAAAGTCGTCCGCAAAATTTGCGAAAGTTGATTTGGAAAAGATACATTATTGATAGATTCGAAACATAATGTGAGGAGAAGGAACAGTCGTTTGTAGAGTTGGCAAAGTTGCTTCAGAAGGCGGCAAAGTTGATCATTAAGTTCGAAATTTTCTAATTACGAAGTCGAAATGTCATCTAAACTTTGAGAAGTCAGCAATGTCGTGTGCAAACCTTGGAGATTTTATTTTTTCAGGCTCGAAAGTTGTTTGAAAAGTTCAAAATAAAAATTGGGAAGACGGCAAATTTGTCTGTATGCTTTTTGGATACTTGCATCGAAAGGCGGAGAATTTGTTCCAAAAGTTAAAAACATTCATTGATAAGTTGGAAATGTTGTCTAAAAAACTAGCAAAGTTTGAAAAGTTTGAAACAATGATTGAGAATTCGGAAATGTCTACACAAGTTGTACAATCTGAAAGGTGAGAACGTTCATGGTGTATTATTCACAATGGTGTATTTAGTTTTAAAGCAAGAATGACAGTGGAGATGCTATTACCTTTTGTTATTAATGTTACTTCGTTATCGATTCTAAAACAAATACAGTCCGAATAGAATTTTTTTCACAAACTTTAGACGAAATTCTTTTCACAGATGGATAGGTTTGATAGTTTTTGACCATTACCGTTTTCTTTTTGTTTATTGTTGTTCAGTTGTCATCATTTTTTCCAGCAAAAATAATACCCTGTTGCCTCAAAAGTTCATAAAACAGAAAAGACGGAAAGGTCGTCTTTAAAGTTGGAAATGTTACCGTGTAAAAACGAAAAAATACAGTGTATAGACAAAATTACAAGACACGCCGATTCAGTTAAAGTTTATTGACCTCAAAACTAAATTTGTTGTTTTTTTCAGAATGTGTAGAAGGAGCGTTGTGGTGTGTCAATGGCGAAGTCATCAGTGATGAGTTGGGATGTGAATGCAAATGTGACTACAGCTGGAGTGGACAATTTTGCTCAGGTTAGTTAGCAGTATCAAGCTGGCTATATTTTCATAAAATGTGTGCGTAGTTTTAACTATTATGCAATTAATATATTATTTCTATATACAGCGCCCTCTATCGACGAATCCCTGCTACGACGTAAATGGTCGTTGGTTCGTTCATTGTTTTGAATTGTGGGTTTCCATGAATAACAAAAACAATTTCTTACGGGATTTATGTATTCGATATGATGAACGATTACACAGCCAGTCACTGCTTTCATCAATCTCAGAGTGTCTCTTCGGCGCTGATCATTTGTCACATTGAACGCTGAAGCTAATCAAATACTGTTTTTTATAAAATTTCTGATATAGTAATTGGGACCAATATGAAGGATCAAGTTTTTCATAAATCATTAAATATATTTAGGTGCAATAATTCATATTTATTTATATTTACAAATGGCATGTTTATGGTTCATATTCTTAGATTAATGTTCGTATGCGATATGTGGGCGTAAGGGGCCTTCTTCGTCATTGACTGTGTTTATTCCAACATGAACAAGGCAGCACCTCTCAATGGGTGTTGAGCCAAGCCAAGAGGATTACATACAAATATAGAATTAACAAAAAAACAATAGGAGGTTTTATAATTACAAATGGAGATTTTACGAATATAATAAATGTCAATTCTTGCACATCTTGTTATGAATATTGCATAATTGAGTAATTACTCTTAATTAAGTGATTATTTTTTCTTGAAGAACGTGCTGGTCTCATGCTATGGGTCAATCCTGAATCAGTCAACTTCGAGTCGGCCAATGATCAATGCAGCGCTCTAGGTGGGCGACTAGCTCCGATACCAGATGCAGGAACACAAGAATCAGTTGAAACATTTCTTAACTCTCAAGTTTTGCCAGATCCACGGATTTATTTTGACATATTTATGGTGAATGGGACGTGGTATAATAGTGACAGTGTTCAGACATGGGACAACTGGCCTACAGCCCAACCAGATGGATACGATTGTGGCATTCTTAGGTGAGTATAGTTTTTTCTCCATACTGCAGTATATCTATTAGCATAGTTTCCCAATAAAAATCATGTAAATATTGTATTTATTTTAGGTAAAAGTTCTCACTGTCTAAAATACATTCTCCAACAAAGAACTTTCACGGGAAACACATGTTGAAAAGTTATTTGCTTAAATATGCAATATGGACGAACAAATTAATATTTTTAATGTTGTTCGATACCAAATCGAAATATAATTTATCATAAATTGAAAGGTTTCGTTTGTAGGACACACGACGGTATTCGTTAGATGAAAAATGAAAACAAGTAATACGCATGTGCAGTGATTGTTTTTGTACGTACGACAACAACCAGTGCGCATGCGTATTAGAGAATGAATTGCTTGATCAAATGAATACTCAGACGCAAGCTACATGACAACGTAATCAGTTCATGCTAAATCTTAGTCCAATGCATTTATCAATATGAAGTGTCAAATAACTATACTAAATATTCATTTTTTTCGTCCCTATTGAATTTTTAAACTAGTATTAATAAGAAGTAAGCATATTTGCCTGGATTTAAAGTAAAATAATATTCTTTAACATTTGTTTTATCGAGAAATGTTTATTATCACAAGACTTTTAAAACGATATTCACTAGATATATATTTTGGAAAGAGCAGACGCTTTCCCGTGTGCTAGCCGCTGTATTCTATTTGAATTATTAAAGATAGAATGTGGATGTAAATATGTAAATTTAATACGGTTGTTTGATCACATGACATTATAATGAATGCAATAGATCGCGATTTATCATAAAATAGAATTATTGTTCCATTGGTAGCACACGCATTCGTAACGATTACATTTTCTATTACGCGTACACATGTGTGCAAAAGGTCATGGTAACAATCACTTTATCGAACGAATGTGCTGCAAAAGCAAAATTTCGGTTGACGAAAAAAAACATTCTGATGTGGTCATAAAAAATGATGTATACAAAAAAACAATATTACAGAATTCATGTTCTCGCTCATGATGCAAACGTTTGTGTTATAAGCACGTGGTATGTATGTACATGACATTTACTAGTATTTTTATTCGATACTGTAAGTTGAAGACCTAATGAGTTATCGTAAAAACTAAAGTGCTGCTTTTGTAGCACACTCATTCGTCGAGCAATTCAACCCACTAATGCACATGCACAAAAAAAGTTATCGACACTTAGAGCGAATACTTAGACCGAATACTTAGAATTATATGCTCCAAGTACAGCGTGTTTAGTTCGGGACAGGTCATAATCATAAACATACATTACCATATTACGTATTTAATTTGCACATAACAGACTGAAAAACGGTGTGTATAAATGGGTGTTTACGGTGTGTACATGGTCAGGTGGTAGGCTGAGTTTATGTGAATTCGGTAAGTGCAATATAACAGTTCAGTCGAATCTAAATTTGATGCGTTGAAAAAAACTGTCTACAAACAAGCTGTTTTCTGATTGGTCTGGAATTAGCGTTTGGTAGCTAATCAGACACAATATTGTATGATGAAGCTTCGCATTGACTCCAGTATTATAGTTGCGCCCTCTATCGACGAGGCGCTTCTGTGACGTAAGAATGAATGGAAGGAATGCAGTTCATAGCGTCCATATTGTTTTTATCTGAGGTTAGTTAATAAAAAAAATAATGTTTAGAAATGTCCTATTTTCAAATGACGGAAAAATGCACAGACAACGGAAGTCGCCTATTTGAATAATACTGTACAAGGGTCTCTCATTTTGAAATATCAGAGGATGGATTTTTTGTTATTGCAAACGTTTCATTTACAGATGGCAGAAGACACATTTTGTATGCACTTTTTTGTTTTCCTCTTTTACATTCTCTTTACTGTTATTTTTTTTCTCAAAATTCTGCCAGTTTACTTACAGGTATTAAACCTTCAAAAACTTTTCGAAGCGTTTCCTCTGGAGAGTATTATATACTAAAAATTATAAATTTGTTCCGATCTAACACATTTAATTTGCTGTTACATGCGTGTCATGTCATAGTTCATCAATAATCATAACTGAATTTGCATAATCCGTTATGTAGCATGGATCACTAGGCAGTGTATTGTAGAATAACATGGGATTTGTTCGCACTAATATTCAAACAGTATAAAATAGTTTCTTCGAAAATAGCGTTTATTTTATAAATTACATATTAAAGTTGTTCGATGTTATCACACTACTGGGCTGTGATACTTTCAAACTGATGCTTTACCCGTTGTTTCTCTCATCAGATTGCACACGGAGCGAATGGTGTCGCCATGGTGATATTGTAAGTGACGGTGATACATGTTTTTGTAATTGTCATGCCTACTGGCAAGGCACATTTTGTTCGGGTGAGTACAATTATTTTCTATTATCACCTTCGTTGGAATAGTTCTACTGTCACCGCGTGTTTACGTGGCTACTAAGCTACATTCTCAATACCGTAATTTGATTGTCTTTTTTTTTGCAGAATCGACGACAACGACCATGCCAACAACAACCACTGCTCGTAAGTTTGATGATATAAGTATTTTTCGCCGAGTATGAGTAGAGACAACTCTGACGATTTCGATCGATATTCTAAAATATCTGCCCGTAACGCCGTCCTTGAAAGAAATGCTGATGTACATGACTTGTCACGCGTAGTCTGAAACAAAATAGATTTTCCACACCACAAATTATTTTGTTGATTTTTATTGTTTTATATAAACTTCAATGGCAGGTGATTTCACCGGCGCAATTAACAATGACGTCACGCATTTAGCGGTTAGGTATGTTCTAAGTAAATGAGCTGAGCCACTCACATAAATGGCTCTAGGTCACGTGGTCATCAATGACAGATTTTAAAATGCCCCAATGAAAACTTCTATATAATAATTCATAAAACTTCTATATAAATATTCTTAAAAATTAGCGGTTTCAATACGGGCCGAGAATTCCGAAAGCTATCTATTGCTTCGGTCACTTACACTTACTAGGGGCGTCGTCGTCGTCGGCATTTTTTTTATTCGATCAATGAAACGATAATCATTATTTGAAATGTGTGTTTATTCACGTTCCAGGGCCATTAGAACCGCTCAAATTCTGGGTTCCTCAACCGAACTTTTCGTGGTACGACTCTGATTTGAACTGCGCAATTTATGGTGGACGTCTTGCAACAATTGTGGATCGATGGACTCACGATCGAGTTGTCAGGTTTTTGTCAAGCCAAAACTTGGCAACCAACATAATATTTGGTCTTCATAATGTTTCTGGCGTCTGGCAATATGATAACGGTGTGTTACCGATTGATGGGTACGAGAACTGGAAAGATGAACCGGAATCCACGGACTTATGTGCATTCTTAAGGTAAGCAGTTAGAGTCACAGCTCGGTTTCTTGCTTGAATATTAGACCTGAGAACAGATTATATGCTTGAATTCTATGTATACAAGGTTGTACATACATGGTCATGGTCATAGTAAATTTGATAATATTACAATGTAATAATCTGAAAAGGGCATAATTTGAATATGTAATTGGATAATATTATTAACTAGTTAAGATTTGATCTGTGATTTAGATATTCTCTAAAAATTATTAAGCATGTTAGTATAACTAAATATCGAGAATCCTTTCGCGATGGCATGTCCGTGATTATTCGGTTGTAGCTCGAAAGCAAATATAAGGTAAATATAGAATAATCGAGATTCGATCTTCTCGCGTACAGTATTGTAAACGTTCTATGTAATTCGCATTTGTTAACAAAAAATTGTGTTTTTCAATAGTCAGAATAATCAATAAACAACAACAGCTAAATTGGCCGGCAGTTAATCCCCCAGACAAACGTTATTTCAGCATATGAACTGGGGTATTCGCCTAAATTTTATCTAATGTATCCTCTGCTGCTACTTTAAATGTCTATGAGTAAACACTTCCATCTTTGGATCATATATTTGTGATCAGATATGTTTTCAACACATTTTATATCATTAGCTATCACATAATTCATCATGGTTTGCGTTGGAGTAGAGAATACAAATACTCTACAATTTATCATCAAAACAGTCCATACACAAACACATGGGAAATTACTGACATTTTTTTATATACAAATATTTATTATACATTACGACTTTTTATCAGCATATTAGGGGGGGAAGATGCTTCCATACTTAATATTCAAATATCAGCTAAGGAACATGTACACCTTTCACCTAATTATTTAAAATTCGCCAAATTATATCAAAACGGAATAGTGGGTCATACCGCCTTGAATGATTTAATGTTAAAGATCCACACTACACAAGGAATCAATGTAATACAATATTGTTAACACACGTAACTATCTAAAGAATATCTCATTCTTCACAAACGTCCAAACTTTCTGGGCTAACTATATTACCAAACTTGCGCGAAGCACAGTTCCATGACATCATACATCATCAAAAGACATTTATACACAAGTTATAATAAATTAAATGTTTCTTTGTTTATCTAGGTACTTGTTTTTGAACAATATTATTCGCAATTAATCCCCTCAACTTCGAAGCGACCATACTGTGATGTGTTATGGTGCACCACCTCTGAAGGAAACAATATTTTACGTACCTTCAGTTATTCCATCTTTTTTCCTTTCAGATATGCCAATAATTACCAATGGATGGCCGTTGACTGTACTTCGGGCGGTTCAAACCATCTGTGTGAGTTCGGTAAGTTGGCAAAGAAGAGATATACACATATAAGTGTAATTTAAACGATGTAAATCATTCCGTTATCCGTATGGCAATTTTACAGTTTAGTATTTATATAACTACATAATCTACGAATCTTTCATCGTTGTGTCTTCTATAATACAATTGGTGTGGCTATATTATTTTAAATTCTGGAACATTTCGAAGATAGAATTGGGGATATGATACTGTGGGTTCATATCTCGTATAAATTGTAATATGTCAACAAATTTAAAATTTTGTTAAATTGTAAAAGACGATACTTAATGTGTTTTTAGCACATTTGTTGTAATATGTGTAAGAAAAATTTTAAATATACATAGTTGAAATCATTTATGTGTGTTATTACACCCGTATTTCTGCCCCGGAGAATCAAGATCTAGGGAATAAAAAGTGATATAAAAATGTAAATTGCATTCTTCTCTATTTGCCGTGGTCTTTTATCTGGAGCATTAAGTTGTTTGTCCGGATTTCCTTTTGACGTTAACAATGTGTGCCTTTTGTGTATGTTTATATTAAACATTTGTAATTATATGCAGAGCTATGTTACGCTATTCTCTATATCAACAAAATACTAACAGTTAATATCCGCAGTTTATGTGCAATAAATTAAATCACCTGTATTTACTAGGTAAAATATCTTTTGTGATAGGTTTTATTGTGCTTGATTATCATGTTAATTTGTTCATAAGTTTATTTTCATTGCAATCTACTTTAAACGAAACACGAAATACCAATGAGATACGATGATTTGAGCATGGCCAGAAGAAGACTTTACGAGTCATTGACTTTGCTTTTGAATTTAATCATCGTGACTATCTTAGAAATACCATATAGGTCTGTGGATTTGTCTGGATAGATTACTGTGGATTGTCGGTCAGCCAATTTCTTGCCTGTCAAAATTAGAATCGCTGAATTTGGTTGTCTGATTCGCTTTCGATATGCATGTCCTATTCTGTTAGTTATAATCGAAGATGTCAGTGCACACGCATGCACAGCGACGAGTTTTTGCTTTGACTTTTCTCAGAGTGACCTCAGTTTTTGACCAATTTGCTGAACTATGTCACTTTGCGATCAGTGAATAATCATGTTAGCATTTGTAAGTGTGATCACGTATTGAACAATAATAATTTAAAACATATAGCTATATTTGTAAATTAAAACAATCTCCTTATGTATAAATACTGCTGCATCGTAACATCTAATGTATGATACACTCCCGGATTTTTTTTTATATTTAAGATTGCACGGTGGATGCCACGTGGTGTAAAAACGGTGTAATTTCTATCAACGCTCTGGAGGAGACGTGCAGCTGTGAATGTGACCCTGACTGGGCAGGACCATTTTGTATGCGTAAGTCATTTGTTCATTTCTACTTGTCCTGTATATAATAGAAGCGCTTTTGGGGGTGCGCAATGATTATTAAGTAAAAGTAATGACGTTGTTCACTGCAGCTGTTAAACGATACATTTATGGTAATATCAAAATCATATAGACAGCGTTATCACGATAGATCACATGCTATTTCTGATCCACTCGTGTCAATCGCAGGTGTGAGGTGGCTTTTTCGTGATTCGTCAAGTGAATACAACTACGTTTGTTGCCAAGATAACATTTGTATTTAACGACAAATCATACTATGTAATGCCCCCGTCAATACACAACTATTTAACAGGCTCAAAATTGCTTAAAGTTATCTACATTTTCCTAACCAGTTTTCAATATATTGTGTATTCGTATTTTATAGGTAAACAGTCAATTCAAGCTGAAACTTATTACACGAAATTTGTATTGCGTTAGGATTAACTTTGCTTCTTCGAAATCTGTGTTATATCAAATGTTTGAATATGAAGAAACTCATAAATTTCCCCCCTGTCACTTCCTTTAAAGTACTGTTAGTCGCTGTAGGGGACGGTTACCGATAACTTAACAATTCAGACAGATGGTTCGAAAAGGGAGAAAATCTGTTGTTCTAAAATTCACTTTGAGTGTTCTAAAATGTTTTGGCGAAAGCACGTATTGATCGGTCATGAAAGCATGGACTAATCATGTAACAATAATTAGTTTTGGATCGTCAAAATAAATTTTCATTTAGAATGAATATTTCGACCTACGTGCATCCTTAATCATCTATAATGAAATAGAGAATTTTCCGCCAACCCTCGATACCTAACATCATTGCTTTCTAACTGACAACGTAGCTTTTTTTGTATCCCAATATTAGAACCAGATATCCAGCCGGGTGACCCACAACCCGTCCATTACTACACTCACAAACGAGAGACAGAATACACCATTGCCGACTATGATTGTACACTGTTTGGCGGCAAGTTGGCACAGGTTCATTCCCCTGAATTGTTCGGTTTCCTAACTGCATATGCGGAAAGTAATAATGAAGTGGAACTCGGAGTAGGTTTGCGTAAGGTGGGAAGCACTTGGATGTCTTACCACGTCACGCCTCAAAGCGGGTATTTGGCCTGGTTTGGCGGCCAACCGGCAGATACGGACGACTGCGCATTCATCAGGTATATATAGTATAGATATTAATATACTAATATTAACACAATATGCGAATAATTAAATTAAGTGGACGAACACATATGTATAGATATCAATCAAATCAAATTTATCAAAATAATATCGTAATTTACGACATGAAAACATTTAACCTAATATCATGCTTCGACAGTTATTCGTACAAGACGCAAACTAATTATCTTCTATTTTAGCTTCAACTCGGCAGATAACACGTGGGGGTGGAAAGGTACCAGCTGTGATTCTAAGACCAAGAAGTACGTATGTGAATTTGGTAAGTAATTACGTCATAGTTATTTGTTGTCAATCCGGACAATCAACTCTCGCCGTCATAATCTGTTGGGCATACCCTCATGTGAAGGTTGACTCGCATCAATATTGAGGTCGAATACGTAACAAAACGCCAAACTACAAGCTGTGTTTTGCTTTTAGATTTAGCACCATATATTCACCATATAGTGATCATACGTCTATAACATATTATTTACATCAAAATAGAATGGTTTCCCCTATACGATAGTTTCTCGTTTAACGTGAACTGTCTACAATATATAGGATAACATGGACGCCCTACATCCAATTCTGGTGGTTTTTTTATTCTCAACAATTTCACTTCGCTAGTAACACTGTTTAACCAGTGTGAGATATGTTCTCTATCCTGGACATCCGCAACAGGAGTGCGATTTTCTCAGAAATAAAGATGACATTACAGTGTTTTAAAACAAAACTTCCGGTAAATTTGTTAAATGTATAAAAATAAACCGCCTGCAAATAAACGTTCACTTTGCTGATGGACTGTTCCATATTCAAGCACTCCTTATTAATTGCATCTCCTTTGGTTATTGTGAATTGTCTCCGTATCGAGGAATGTATATACTGTTACAGTAGCATGCTTAGTAACCCTTACAAACTGACTAAATCACAAATTCATATTTAAACATTTCCCCCTGTTCTTTTTCCTTTGAATCAATTAAACTACTGATACCCTGGGTCTAGACTGTTATAAATCCGGCTTATCCTCTCGCAGGTTTGATTCCTACGTTATTTGCAATAATCATTTTATTCTTATATTATTTCACTCTAGATTGTTTTGTGGATTCTAATTGGTGTGTTCATGGAGATATTGTCCAGGCTGAAGAGAATGGGTGTATATGTCAGTGCCATGCTGGATGGACGGGCCACTTTTGTGCCGGTGAATATTGATTTTTTCAGTTTATAATAATCAACGAAGGGACCACCTTGTATGAAACAGTTATTTGCTATTATTCCATATTTTTTGCTTGGACACAATTTTTGTCCCACCAAAGCGAGCACGTAAAGGTTATAGTTGATTTCTCTGTCTAAGACAAATTAAATTTTGACTAGAAATTGTTATACACAATGCGCGTCTTACAAAATATCTTCAGTAATCGCGATTTGCACAATTATGCATTACTAGCATGGGTGGGTGCATGGACGTATAGCCAAACCTCAACACAACATTGTTTTTAATCAAGAGTGCCTCATTGTCTGATAATATATATGCCGTGACAATGAATGAAAACAAATATTGTGAGAGATTCACCGATTGAAACATGTGCTCCTTAGATTTTTAAGCTGGCAGTAGGCTAATTGCTTACATCGTCACAGAATCAATTTCGGTGATCGAATTTAGAGAGACGTGAAAGGTTCATGCTGTATACGCAATGCGTTTCTAGATGTAATATACCATCTCTTTTCCACATACTAATTCGCTGAATTCATCCTTCCAGCAAGTACCTCTGTTGAATATTGGGTGACTCCTAACAACGTGAATGCACTTGAAGCCCGAGACGAATGCACTGCAAGAGGTGGTAGTTTAGCTATCATAGCAAATATTGATACGTTGTGCCGTGTTTCGATGATTCTGGGAAATCAAACTTTTATTTATAATAAGATTATCTTTGATTTAACATTGGTTAACTCTGTGTGGGAGAACTCTCATGGTGTTCAGTTGTTCCGCAACTGGGTTTGGCCTCCAACTGGTACGGAAGATTGCGCAACAATGAGGTAAGTATAGAATACACCTAACTATAACACAGCGTGGCGTGCATTATATTATGTTGTTAGTGTATTATATTATGTAGCTAGTGCTTTATATTATGTCGCTACTGCATTATATTATGTTACTAGTACATTATATTATGTTGCGCCAGTGCATTATATTATGTTGTTAGTGCATTATATTATGTCGCTACTGCATTATATTATGTTACTAGTACATTATATTATGTTGCGCCAGTGCATTATATTATGTTGTTAGTGCATTATATTATGTCGCTAGTGCATTATATTATGTTGCTAGTGCATTATATTATGCTGCCAGTGCATTATATTATGTTGATAGTACATTATTTTATGTTTCTGGTGCATTATATTATGTTCCCAGTGCATTATATTATGTTCCTCGCGCATTATATTATGTTGATAGTGCATTATATTATGTTTTTCTAGTGCATTATATTAAGTTGCTTGCGCCACCATATGTCCCAAGTAAATGTCATCGAATGTTACAAGCACTTCCTAACATAGAATGTGCGTTTTGTTCCTTCTGCAATTGTATAATAAAGTTACTGAGCACACGTAATGAAAGGCGGGGTTGTTTTATGAGACGGTTAGCCTCAGCTGAACATGACATTCCTGTTCCTCAGAGATGGGCAATAATACTATGACGTCACTGATAACGTCCATATATCTGTGCACGAACGTAACCTATTTGTCCCCGTATAATGTGAATATTTTTTGCAAAATACAAAATCAACTTGGCACAGTGAAATATGTGCATCACAGTGCATATTTATTAATAACTGGGAGTGGTCACCTTTATTTGTTCTTGCACTGCATTCAACCCTTAGTAGCTAGTTAGTCAATACTTTACTATTGCAATACTCGATTCATGTAGTGGGGTTTTTCCTGCATGTTCTTTATCATTATTGTAGAATGGATTTGCAGTATATATGGCAACCCAGCTCATGTGCCTGGCGAGACAGCAGATATGGTTTATGTGAATTCGGTATGTACCAAATGTGTTATTTATATAAACCAAAGTTTTAAATAGCATGCTGCTTGCGTGTACGCCGTGTGTTGTTTATTTACGTGAAATTCGAACACGCGAGGCGCAAGAAATATAGCGCTTCAAGATATGACATCAATTCAATATACTATTTGCAAACTATACAGATTGTACATCCGGAACATGGTGTAGTCATGGCAGCATAAACATCTTGGAAGCCGGATGTGAGTGTGTTTGCTCCTATGGTTGGATAGGACAGTTGTGTGACGGTGAGTAATTTGCTCTCATGTGCCAGTCTGCATGGGATTACACTAATAGATCGTGTATCATTTTCATTATTTTATTTTACAAATTTTATGTAGAATAACTTTTCCTAGGCACGTACTATGTATTATTATACATCTGTCATCGTGACGCCTTAAGTCACAGCGTGTCGTAATTTTGCGGTATTGCACCGGGTATTTTCTTCCTTCCGTATTAGGAAACTCGAATTCCAAATATGGAATGATTATGCGCGTAAGCGTCCTGTAATAATAAAAAGAAATATGGCTGCCCCCAAGGTTTGACCGGACCTCACAGAAAGAAGTTCGTTAAATCTGTTCTAAACGTTTTGGATTTCGGCATTCCCATGATGTATACTTGGGGGGGGGGGGTGTATCGATACTTTCACTGTACTGTTTTCGTGCATACTTTTCGATATCCTCGTAATAACATATATTATTTAAATTATTCATTTTGTCTGACAGAGATTGATCCTTTGGCTTCTACCACCACTACTGCTAAACCAGTTATTCTAGACCCTGTTTCCTTCTGGATTCCACAACCAACCTGGCCAAGGGATCGAGCGCAATCCCTGTGTGAAATGCATGGCGGTCGTCTTGCTGTCGTCGTGGATAAATGGACCCAAGCTCGTGTGCAATCATATCTGGCCAGTACAAACCCCGTGAACAATAAGGTGTTTTTCGGTCTGCGTTTTGTCAACGGCCTTTTGGGTTACGACAGCGGTGAGGAAGTGTTAAACTACACCAACTGGATGTCAGGTCATCCACTACAGGAGTACGACTGTGCTGTGTTCAGGTTGGTCAACAATATATATGTTAGCGAATGAGAATACACTATTTCCGCTCCTACAAACTGGGAGTATGTCACCGATAGCGCAGTAGTTGTTGCATCTCCTTTTTGATCACTAGACCAGAGTTCTTTTATCCCCTATTGGGTTGAACGCTCAAAACTGGAATAACTGTATGCAGCCGGTGCCGAGATGGTTAATATGAGAAGTGAGCGATTTTTTTTGAGAAGCCAAGTTAAGGACTACGTGTGAGTCTATTGTGTTCAACCGGACCAGGAATGTGAATATATAACGTTTCGACTCACTATTGTATTGTATTTTATTATCAGGACAGATTTGGAATATATTTGGCAGAGCGAAAATTGCACTTTGTTTACTGGACGATCCCATGTATGCGAATTCGGTAAGAATTAAAACCCTCAGCCCTAATACATATTTAAAATTTCTATAATCGTTATGCAAATGCAACATATTTTAAGAATGTTATATATCGCCACAGTTTATGCCGTGGTGTAATATTATGGGATGTATTTTTAGATTGTTTGACAGACACGTCGTGGTGTGTAAATGGCCAAGTAAATATTAGTATTGAAGATGAATCCTGCTACTGCCAATGCAGCGCTAACTGGAAGGGGCCATTCTGTATGGGTAAGTTAAGTTAAGTTATGAGAGGGTGCTTTTTAAGATTCGCTTGGTAAGTCCTGAGTTGCAAAATCTTTTGCCAAATGTACAATCATATTGTATGAGAATAATCAAACATCTTGCATGTGCATATGCGGTGAATTCTAATTGGTACAAGATGCTGTGACGTAACAGCGTACAATTAATTATGCGATAATGTCAACTCTTGTAGAACCTGAATCACCACCGGCACTTGGGTATTCAGTGTCAGACATACCAGCAGATTACGTCACTGCCTCGTCAGTATGTGGCGCCAGTGGTGGAACCTTGGCGCGAATACAGTCCCCGGAAATGTTTCAGAATCTTGTGAACTTTATTCAGTCCACTGGTCAGACAGATGTGTGGTTTGGACTGGCACTGTCGGGGTCAAATTGGATATATGAAGACGGCACTTTGCAAAGTGGTTTCAGTGCATGGCGAGGCTCACACCCGAACTTGAGAGACTGTGCGTACCTGAAGTAAGTCTTGTATACTCAATTCTTCCCTGTAACCACTGACTTAATGTGGCACTAGTTTTGGATTGGTTGCCGCGTTACTTGGCGCGTCAGTGTTAGTTTAACTGCAGGATTGGGGTTCAACTCATGGGGCTCTCAGAATCAGTGTTTCATAACTATTTTTTTTTTCTGATATCCAATATATGTAATGTGTGGGGGGGGCACCACTATTTAAAATAAAACACGCGAGATTTAACTCGTGAGCACTTACCATCCAAAAAATAGCGGTGAGTGACTAGATGAAAGATGCGTAAACTAACGGCTATTCCTGGTGAACTGGGAGTATCACTCCTCCCCCTTTCTGCTTACGAGATCGACACTGTCCTCTACAAGCTAGACAGGCGCCGAGAAGAGAAATCAGAATCACGATGTGTGGATAGGGTAAACATAATTTGCAATGCAGCGCCTAAGTTTATGAGGTTGATACAATGAGATTTATCACGATGCTGGTATAATGAAATCATAGTCTATTCACTTCGTACAAAGAGCTGTTCACAGAATGTATGTTGCGACTCAAGATAAAAAGATCATTCATCATTTTCTAACACAAACTCACTTATTCTAGGAGTTCTAATGGAATGTGGGAGTGGTATGGTGCGGGTTGTACTTCGCTGAAGTATTATGTATGCCAGTTTGGTGAGTTGGCCAATTTACAGTATTTAAATTGATTGTTTTATTTTCGTCCAACATATCCTGTATGGAAAACATAACCCCCTCTTGTTAAATCTTGTTGTTATTTTATGGTTGTGACTAGAGAAATCTGGACGGTCAAACTTTGTTGTAATAAGCCAGTCTCGCAAGTTACTGTGCGTGCAACTATGGCAATGTATAGATATATGGATATTCAGAGAGAGAAAAATTCTCATTATTGCGTTATAACGGGACGAATTCGAGCCTGTTGTTTAAGCGCACATCCCGTTTGAGCCGTTTTATGAAGCAGTGATGGGTAGTGCGGAGTCTTTATTTCAATTAAAATATTCTGAATTGTCAAAAAATTAAATAATCTTGCAGAAGTAGTGTGAGAATTTATTGACAGTGTTGTGAGTGTATTTCAGCTACGCGTAGAGAAAACGCGCTAATAGGTGTATTTTTAAAGCATGAAAGGTTTGTTGTTTGAATGATCCGTCCAAATGTCTAGTGTGTTTATGCATTGAAACTAATGACCAGGACTGCACGTAATACCAAACAACCAAGATACGGTGTTTCCATAATGAGCAGACTACGCTATTATTATCTTTTATATAAGAGAACACATACGAACGTAATTTGTAACATTATTTCAGATAAAATGTGTGTCCACGAAAAAAAAAATGTGAATGGTGCAGAAAAATATATATGTACTTGCCTTAGAATCACATTGACGAATTGAATTACGTCGTTATCCCAAATGCATCTTTTTTCAGTGAATGTACTCCCGGACAATATAAAGATTGTGCTATTAGTTGCAGAGTATGATACGCTACAATATTATTCCGTATTTCGAACTGATATATTGACTGATGGTTTATTCTGTGTTATTTTGAATTACTTAAAACAATCATTTATTTTAAAAAAACGTTACAAGAACGGTTGAAAGTATGATCTGTGTAATTCGAATATTCTTTTGGAATGACAATGTTAGTCCAATTTGCTTAAAAATGTTAGCGTGGAACTATGGCTGTACATAACAAATCAATGAACATTGTGATTCAATTTTGAATAGGCAAATATTGCAAAAATATATAGGGCTGTTTTTGACCTATATATAATCTGATTTAAAAAACGATTAATTAATTGATCTATATCTTACCATAAATGGCATTATGCGAAGATGTGTACTTTTTTGTTGGCCAATGGATCCATTGATTGGACAAGACACCGGAATTATTGGTAATTCTTTCCGTTCAAAGAAAGTTAGTTGTTTTGTTTGGTAATGACTATTTCTACTATATCTTTAGAGTGTGACGATGGTGATAGTTGGTGTTTCCAAGGTGACGTCGTTGCGCACGAGACCGCGGGTTGTGTTTGTGAGTGCCACAGCGGATGGGTCGGAGAATTCTGCAAAGGTGAGAATTGTATTATTGCGTGGAACACTTAGCTACCGAAGGCTGCCCGGCGTGAAAACGCTAGTTACATCGACAAACGGTGCAGTTCGACAGTTGGGAGGCACATAGTACATTTCGTATTTTTAATTAAATAAATCAGAGTATATTTATGTCAAGGATAAACGCACACTGACTCATAGAAAGTCTGAGACAATGTAGCCAGTGATTGTTGCACATGTGGTTGAAGCTGATTGGTCAAACTAAATTGATTTCCATTGTGACATGTGTATGCGGGATAATATATTTTACATCGCATAAATAAACTGCATTTTCGCCAATGACGAAACACAAAATTGAGAGTTGGGAACGAAGTGGTGAGAACAACAATACTTGCAGAAGTAGGAGAAACTAATACTACAAGACCAGGATCGCAAGACTGACAGGAAATTCACAAGCACGAATGTATGAGCACAAAGGCCAAATCAGGGAAACAGTAATAAATTAACCAAAGAACATACATCTAAGAAGAATATTCAAAATATTATTCAATATAGTTTGTTTCCTTTTGTGTGTACATAACTGCAATCAAGTAACTACATTACTGTTTCAATTCCAGCAAACAAGAATATTGCTTATTGGGTGAACCCTGTATCTGTTAATGCAATAACAGCTCGAACCGTGTGCCAAGACAAAGGCGGTCGGCTAGCCAAAATAGACAGTTTTGACCAACTGATGTATATTGGTACCTTCCTCGATGGACAAACTCTGTCAGATCCGAGACTCTATTTCGATTTACAGCTGAACAACACAGAGTGGTATAATAATGACGGTCCGCAGTCGTTTCTCAATGGATTGAGTGTGGGTGATGGTACCAAAACTTGTGTTATGCTAAAGTGAGTATTTGCTTTATACGTCTTAATATCTATAACAGCATTATTGACAGAAAGGTAAAATGTTCGTGCTTATGTTGTGTGATCTCGGAGGCGCACGTATACATGCTAGACACTCGGTTGTTAGTTCAAAATGACTGCCTTTATTTTGAAGACGAAGAGCTGTATTTTGCCATATTTAATTTGTTAAAGATGTTGTATTATTATTATTTGTACGACTGTTTTTTTGTTTTATTAGGTATGGCCCAGATATGGCATGGAATGAACAAGTTTGCACGTGGGCTGCCGGACGGCTAAGTTTATGTGAATTTGGTAAGACGTGAACATTTTTTTTTTATTATTATTATTTTAAGAACACAGATAATTTCTAAGACACCTCAGACAATTTCCAAGCTACTTTCATTATTTACTGGCGACAAGTAGTGTTGCCAGAACGCAAGTACACAATGTTCTACGTATATCCAATATAAACACGACACTTTTTTTGACCTTCAAATAGTCATTTCAAATACCAAGGTTACTACATATGTGGACAGTGAGCGCGGTATCATCGCGGTGGAGCTACGTCACAAGACGTTACGCGTTGCTAAGGCGCACACCACTGTACCACGTGTTTCTATAGGCTTTGCGCGAGCTGCTTTGGAACGCCGGTCGATGAGCCGGTGAAAACAGCTAAATTCGAGAAAACAACACAAACTCAACTTTGAAGTTATCTAGAACAACCAAATTTATATATATGTTGCAAACGCATGGCTAATCTTGTTACACTGTTCGGGGGAGTCTCAATAACCATTCCAAAGTACCGTTTTCTGAGAGTTGTTGGCCTTTATTTTCTCTGTGGTGGTTGCCAGGCGGTGAAAATGCCCGAATGTTCGCCCACGAGAATATGGGAATTGTACATGTTCATGAATTGTCGTTATTTTGCATTTTACTTTGAAATGTTAATTGGGTTTATCTGTCTATGTTTAGTGTTGATTGTTACGTCTATGTATTGCTGTAATGCATTCAAAACATTCAAGGTTTCTACTATTATCACTGTATGAAATCAAATCTAAATACTAATAACACGTGTTTTCTCTTTCGATCTATCCAATCAATAGAAATATCAACATAAATTTAAACAATCACAAACGTCAGAATTGTGGAGAAGAATTACACAATTCAAACAAGTTTATCTACATTAAAGAAATGCAGCTTACACCGTACTTTTAAACAGAGGAGTGGCTTGCTCGCAATGGACAATTCTGTACACTGTTGTACCAGTGTAACTATGTGGATAATATTGTTTCATTTATTTATTTTATTTCATTTTAAAGACTGCTTAGTGGATACACAATGGTGTGCAAATGGGGAGATACAAATAGACGACTTTTGTACCTGCCAGTGCTCGTACGGCTGGATGGGAACCTTCTGTGACAGTAGGTATTCACAAAGTTAGACAGCCAGTGTAAAACGCCATGCATATCAATGTTACTTGCTTAACAAAAAGAGATTTTTTTATGAAAAAAATACTTTATAAAAATACCGAATTTAACAGAAGTATAATGACAAAATTTAATCGCTTCTGTTTATTTCCAAACTATTGCAAATTTGGCATAATGACAAACTAAATCTGTGCTATTCTACAATATGATATACATTGTTCTCTTCAGTCCGAAATGAAACATTGTTGAGTAATGTTTCAACCTTTCCCAGATTCTAATGCTAGGCTAGGATATACAAACAGCAAATATATGGTCACGATAATATTTCTCGGTTTAATGTTATGTTTTTCTCTTTGCAGTGCCTGATCCAACAGCAACAACGACCACTACTCTCTTTCCAACAACAACTACAGCTCCTATACCTTCCACAACAGTACATTTTACTACCGAACCTCCAACAACTACAGCCACAGCTGCCCCTACTACAACTTCTACAACAGCGCCTCCTACTACCGAATCTCCAACAACTACAACCACAACTGCCCCTACTACAACTTCTACGACAGCGCCTCCTACTACCGAATCTCCAACAACTACAACCACAACTGCCCCTACTACAACTTCTACGACAGCGCCTCCTACTACCGAATCTCCAACAACTACAACCACAACTGCCCCTACTACAACTTCTACGACAGCGCCTCCTACTACCGAACCTCCAGCAACTACAACTACAACTGCCCCTACTACAACTTCTACAACAGCCCCTCCTACTACCGAACCTTCAACAACTACAACTGCCCCTACTACAACTTCTACAACAGCCCCTCCACCACCACCAACAACAACAACTACTACAGCTTCTACGCTCGAACCACCTTCTTCAAACGTTGCATTCTGGCTTTCTGAACACACTATTTCATATGACAATGCCAGCTTAGAGTGTCAAATGTATGGTGGGCGCCTCGCTACAGTCACAAGTCAGGCCACCCAGGAACGTGCTGTGTCATATATGAATACAGTTGGTGTCAGTTCATTGAGCGGAAAGGTGTTTTTTAGACTTCAACGAATTAATGATGTTTGGGGATATGACTCGGGTGAGATTCTAGAATATTCTAACTGGAAATATTCTGAAGAATTTGATTGGCTGGATTGTGCTGTTTTTAGGTATGAAATATTGCATAAGTATTATTCGATAAATTGCGGTTCTAATAAATGTATTTATAAAAAATAACTGAAATTGAAACCAAAAGTGTATACGAAACAGAAGGCAGTTGATACTTTACACACGTACATAGTGTTATACATATTTGAAGCAATGTGGTGGAATATATTAACGGTTTGAAAAGTGTCATTCATGAATATTCTAATTCTAGTATTTTAACATTCACAATGTCGCCGCTGTATTTTGCATGGTTATAGACATGGCACTTTTGTGGATGATGATGGATGTTCTTTATATTCATTAAAATGAGTAATAATTACGTTTCAATGCAGGTCTACTGACGGTTATTTGTGGGAACGTGAGAACTGTACTGCCAGTTGGGAAATATATCATCTTTGCGAATTTGGTGAGTGTGATTGCTTTCTGTGACTGTTTTATGCAACTCATAATGTAAAAGAAAAATCTTTGTTATGCTTAATTAATGTCGCCAAGGGTTTGATGTGCAAGATGTAAACCCTAATGGCTTTTAAAAGGTTCACTCTTACTTTTGCGTGTCGAAAAGTACACTTCTATTGCTTGGTATCGTCTGACTGTCCCGGATGTCAGGGGGATGAGATATACCAGCACAAATTTCACGCAGCCAATATTCACATTTAATAATGAAATCATCAACTAACACTAAAGCATTAATGTCTTCATAGAGTGTATTGAGACGACGAATTGGTGTACCAATGGACAAGTTGTTACAAACGATAGCGGGTATACATGCAGCTGTGTGTGTGATATAGGTTGGAAGGGAACGTTCTGTAAGGGTAAGTAGTACAACACCGACAGTAGTGTTCACGCGTAAAAGTACTTTAACGAACTATAGTATTATTATCTCTGTTGACTCTGTATAAAAATAGTTGAGAAAACATTCATACCAATAACACAGTCACGTATATATTTTCACTTTGAAATTAAATTGAATTTATTGGAAGAAAAATGCAGAAATGTATCAAATTACAAAGTAAATTAAAGTATTCGTTCACAGTTATATACAGCTGAACTAATTTTGCTTCTTTGTACTGTTTGTTTAGTGAAAATTAGATTCTTAATTGAAAAGCAACATGCTTGTTTACTATTGTCAAGAGTTGCTCGCTTTGCCAGCCAGTAATAATTTCATTAAATTTTACAATTGTGCCATTGTCAAAAACATGACAATAATCAGCATAACGTGATCCAAAGGTTTAGTTCAAAAATACTATCAACAATTTGCTTGCATCACGTCAGGAGGTACAAATGTTTTCTGTTAAAGCGGGAGGGTCCTCACTTGCGCACGCGTGGGAATTGAGTCCCAAGTGACGATAACGATGCAGGCTAAAAACGCAAAGGCTCATGGGTAGACGCTTGTTTGTAAACAATGACACGCTATGGCCATCTGACGCATGCACAGGTGTCGACTCTCCCGCTTTAAGGTTGGAAAAATTAGCTCGAAATTATCTGTGATTTAGACATTCTCTAAAAGTTGCTAGTCATGCTAAATGCTACATCATTCACTACCTTTTATATAAGCGTATACCCCATGGAAAAGAATTTTCCTGATGACCAATAAGCCATTTTCCTTAGTTTGCGAGATCTCGCGTGATCTGAATCACGCACTTGACAAACAGCCACTGTCACGTGACATGGTCAAGCTATCCTAGGCTCGCTAAAGGGTAGCAACGCCATCGTTACACGCATGAAAGCAGCAATAATACAGCTATTTACTTTCACAGTGGGAGTCAAAAGATTTGCTTACGGAGAGTGCAATTGTTTCTTTACTTTCGTGACTGTTGAAAACACCGTTTGTTTAAACACTTTCAGTCGCGCAAATGATCTGTGAATTGTACAGGACATTCATAACGCTTCTATCGAAAATATTACCTGTGGATTTATGGGCTGTATTTACTTACCTCTACGTATAGTGAATCCAACGACGCGATGTGCTTTGTTTTGTATCTCCATATATAGTCTAATGACGGAATAATATTCAAATGTTGAATTAAAATCTTAAAACTTTCACACAATTGTTTTCACTTTTTCAGAACCGGACCCAGCACCAGCTCTGAAGTATTTTGCATCACGCGCTCTGAACATCTATGCGGACGCTGAATCTGACTGCGCATTATTCGGAGGACGGTTGGCTCAGACTCAGTCACAGGAAATGTTTGACAGCGTCACCAGCTTCGCTATGTCTATTGGTTTAAACAATTGGTACTCTGGGCTTCATATGGAAAACGGCAAATGGATGTCTGTGGAAAATGTTCAACAGAGCGCGTTCATGGCATGGAAATCCGCTCAACCTCACGACGAACAATGCGCGTTCATGAAGTAAGTTTTTAAATGATACCAAACGTGGTCAAATAGACGATATATGAAGCTGTCTTGTTTCAGAAGTAGGCCCCAACTCTCAATAAAACAAAGTAGGTTTAAATACTTCTGTCAACTGAAATGGACACAGATATTATCGTATGTGTGTATATTGATAAAAGTGGCTAAAATTCTAAAATAACCGCCTGTGGGGTGGTTATTCCTAAAATATATAACTTCTTTACCATCAGTACATTAAAATATCTAATTCAGGAATAACAGTACAAATGTGTGACACATTTAGTTCTGAGTTCCTATAGTAATAATGTAATTTCATAATTCGACGTTTTGCTCTTTGGTGGCGGCTGACGAAAGTATATATTAATATTAATTTAGCATAGCAAATGTAGTAAAGCCTGTTGATTTATCGCATCGGTTATTTGGAAATGTTAAACAATCGTAAGCTAAACGAATAAATCTCGTCACATAACTTAACACAAGTAGTCCATGATATATATATAAGCATTAAATAACTCATCACCTCGATTTATAATACTCCACTTTGTGTGGCAAATCGTACAATACTCCACTTTGTGTGGCAAATCGTATAATACTCCACTTTGTGTGGCAAATCGCGCCAATGCACACAGTTGTATAGGTCGTGCGTCAACATTAGTCAAGTGAGAAGTCCTTACTGAAATATTAAGGCAAATTAATTTTCTACCCGGTGATTAACTGTTATAAATTTTGTTATTCTGAACTGCAAAACAATTTGAAAAGATTGTGCAATTACAGTAAATACATAATACAAATGTGAATGCTGTGGGTGGTCGCGAGCCGTCAGTCGCAGCACCAAATCTCCTGGACAAGAAATCAAGTATATGGCCAGTGCCAGGCTTGGATAAATAAAGATACATTACAATTTCCTAACGGTCACAATATATTGCATATCTCAGATATTCATTAATTACTAGCTTCATCTTCAAAAAATATGCGCAATGTAGATAGATTCGATATGAAGTATATAATGTCAAGAAAACGAAACTCAAAATTCTATCCGATAGAAACGTGCATGAAGTAGGTTAGAAACTGAAATGAACACGAAATTAGCCAACAAATTGAGCAATTAAAGATTTCTTTTGTGTGACTACTCCTACTCTTTTCATTTCATTTTCATTTGTACAATAATATAAGTATGTGTATATATCTCTTGCAGGTACGACATTGGAGCTTGGACGTGGCGTGGAACGTCTTGCACGTCAAAAAGGAAATACGTGTGCGAGTTCGGTATGTTGAACCCAATAGACATTATATAAGACGTGAATAGTTAAAACAAGTATGACAATCAATCAATCAACTGTCACTGTAAACTAGCGCATGCAAATAACGGTCATGCGACGATATTGAAATACACGCATGCGCAGTACGGCTTCACAACCATTCGCCATTGATCTTATACTTAGACAAACCCGACTTAAATCCATAAGACGCGCTCCTAATAACGAAGCGCTCACGCGACGTCATAATGACGTAGATGGGTGGATTTGTTATTCATTAATAATAGATCAAATTTACAAAAAAAACTGTATTTTATGGATGACAACCACGGTTGAAATGCACGACTTAGCGTTGGCCGTTGGAAGCTCTGTTGGAGGGCGTAGAAATATTATGCAAATTACCCCTTGCCCTTCATTTAGTTTAGCGCTCGCTTTTTATGATGCTGCTGCGCAGTTCTATAACCCTCTTAATTGTGTGACCTTTTGAAAAAAAAATATCACTACATTTGTTTCTTTCTTTCTACGTACTCAGATTGTGTCGGCGATACAAGTTGGTGTAAAAATGGCGTTGTCGTGGAGACTGCAGATTCCTGTGAATGTCGGTGTCATGATGGATGGAGTGGAGATTTCTGTCGAGGTAAACTTACTATAATGGCGTCTTCAAAAAGTTATATTTTATGCTTACGTATTTCCAGCGAGCTCCAGTCAACAATGCCACACTGTGATATTTGGTTAATTCCCAAACCTGAATTAAAATAAAACTAAATATTAAACAAATGAGACAAATATCTGTACTATCAATCATGTGCCCAAAACATTCACTGTATAATCTCGTGTGCGGGAAATTTGACAACACAGTATATACTCGAATGTGGAAGCGCAGTAGAAGAAGTAACGTTGAATTTAAACATGTTGGGGTTTCGAGCAATGAACGCCGTTACACGGAAAACGTGCGAGATCCCTCGTGAGGAAATGTCAACTGAAATTTGCCTTCCGTGGAGTGTAGGTGGTGGCAAACGCTGTCCTCTGACAGTAGATGCTCACTGAATTACGATTTTTGTCTTTGATAATTTAACTGGTTGACGCACAGTAAATAATACCCCAAAATGGCCTTCCTGTAGTCCATACTGAGTAGTAGCATGTACCAACTGAATGGCAACAATTAATAACAAATCGCGGTAGCCTATATTGGCCAGATAATTTCATTTATTGGTCGAATGACAACTTTTTTTTATCAGAACAAGCTAGTAAAGGTGTCTGCAATCAGACAAAATACAAGGCATACAAATTCAAGAATTACAGATGATGCTTTGACACCGAAAGAATAATTTACTTTATACACTGAAGACCAGAATACTAACCGTGTTAATGTAATTCTCTGTGGAACATTTACATAGAAAGAATAGCTAAATCCAAAAACTAGCAAAATAATTTGTCTTTTTAGCGGCTAGGCCAGAATGTCATGGTAAATTATCTGCAGACATTTCAGTTATCCTGCTGACAGATAGACCCGCATACGACAGACGGTCAGGCAGACAAATCACCGAATAGGCCGACAACTGTCTTGACAGAGATAACGACGATTTAATCTATTCTTTGCAGTGAGTACGTCCATCATGTATTGGGTCAACCCTCAGCCCGTAAATGGCTTTGAAGCCAGGACTGAATGCCAAGCAAGAGGTGGTCGACTAGCTAAGGTAGCAGACATTGGAACTCACATTGCTGTAGCGAGTTTCCTTGAAAGCGTTTATCTAGCGGACCCTAGGGTGTATATTGGGATACAGAAGATTGTCGATGAATGGGTAAATGATGATGGGATCCAGGAATACTTCCAATGGAATGGGATTGTTGATGAGACAAATGACTGTGTCGCGCTACTGTAAGTAACCACCCTACTGTGATGAAATAGAAAACTATTGCAAAGCAATTCTACAACCAGGAACAAAATAGCGTGATCATTTCGTTGACATGGGAATACTTTTCATGCAAGAGTATTACACGGCCATTGTGTAGTTGTGTAAACTGTTGGAACGCTTGTCACACACGCTCGCGCCACGTGTGTGTTATTATTATTTGTTGTGTCTATGATACTTTTGGCATTCGTGAAATAGGTGATTTTCCGTACAATTGCGAGATCTCGCGAGATGCATGAAACACGCGCGTCGAACGTCTGCCGCAAAAATCGAACGATTTGATTTTGAACTAGAATTTCTTTATTTCGCAGCTTACATTGATCGGCCGATCTTCGACAGAGGAATATGGCTTCCGAATACCCTTACTTAATCGAAATTGCCCATCATTAAATGTGGACAGCACATTATTAAAGGCCCAGGTATACTATAAATACGCTCCTAAACAATAGGGATCATTTCCTTGCTTGTCAAGCTGTAGTAAACAGCTCCAGCCAAGCTCCGGTAAAAACGTGTTTTCTCGAACTTACAGGTCAATTATGTCGTGCCAAAGTGGATGCATGTGACTATGAATATCACAGCAGTGACTGTGTGTAATATTTATGACAATAAATAATGTACGAGCTGAGATTTTGGCGGATAAAAGTAAAGAACATGAACCGGGGAAAGGGATGCGCGACTAATCTTGAATAATTACTACTGTCAATCAAAGTCATGTGATGTTGGACCGCTGAAACAGGATGCATCATAGGCTACGCAAGTGATTAACACCATGCATTAGAATAGCCACACCTCCAATTCACACTTGCCCAGGGCAAGTGAATTGGGCCTTTAAGCATGGAAATGTCCCCGAAATACTTTCGCGTTTGTCGAATCCCACGCGATGTTTGACGCGACTACGACGCTATGACCTTTGTTTGTCTTGTTTTTACGTTCGATTTCACGCATAACGCGTGATTCTCGCAGTGTACGGAAAATGGTCTATTAGAAAGCCCTGCTACCAGAAATAGGCATGGCGTTAAATACCAAGATTGTTTTGTAATAGGCATTACGGGTGTCTTAACAGTCACAGCGTACTTAAAATGGCACACTATTTTGTCTTTTGTTGTATATATACAACATTGTTAAAATTGCATTTTCTTTCTCCAGTGTTGAATTTATAATATTATAATATTTTCGACGCATGAGGACGCTGAATGATCATTTATACTACATTGTAATTGCAACCAGCTTATTGTTGTTCCCTGATTTAGAACTATAACTTGATTTTAGTTATATAAATAACTGTATTATTATTTTAAACAAAACAATTGGCAATAAGTAAGGTGAAAAATGTGAGCCAAATGGAAACGTCTTGGATTAAAATCAAAATTAGTCTTCGATAGTCAATAATCAAAGTATTATGACATCAGATGTCAGTAACACACAATTAAAACCCGAGGCAAGGAATCCACAATATTATACATTGAATATTCATCAAATGATCATGTGACCGCCTTTGACCAATAACAATAACATCTCAAACTTGAAAATATTATATTTTGTGTTATTCAGCCAAACTGCAGATTTCGCATTCCAAGCAAACAAATGTACTTGGTCGGGTACGAGGATAAGTTTATGCGAATTTGGTAAGTATATAGTTGGTACAGAACTCGTATACGTAGTATGTCTCATAATATGTACATTTTTGCGTCACAGTGCGCTTTTTCAATAGCGGGCGCACGCGAGGAATAATGCCTTGTAAGTTGATTATTGTTATTTTCCAGACTGCTCCGTGCCGGATTGGTGTAAAAATGGTAATATTGTTGCTAACACCACGTCTTGTTATTGTCAGTGCTCTTACGGATGGCGGGGAACCTTGTGCGATGGTTAGTTGAATATGACATTCTACCAACAATGTTTGATTAAAGGGCGGTGGCCGACGCGCCGCGTCCAGTTCGATATGGGACTCATAGCGACGTATACAAGGCGTGTAAAATACATTGTTTATTTACAAGAAATTCGAACACGCGCTGCGCGACGACCACCGCGCTTTAACTTTAATTAATAAGTTTAGTGATCTCGAAAATCATATTGATCACATTCTGTAGATAAGACTATCTCGTCAACAAGAGTGAAACAGAAAGGGAATCAATCTTAAGTTGGCATTTGTTTTCAAGCTAGAGGCTGTTTTTCTATGATTTTATTTCACTAAGTTGTGCTGTTTTATTGAAGCCAACATACAGACAAGGCAATGATGGGGCAAAACAGTTGTGATGTTTCCACGTAATGTTAGAGTAATAACAAATGCACGCACATGTTTTCTATAATATGCATTACAATAGGTATTTGTTGATTAATTAATATTCAGAGACTAATTAAAATAAATGCATCCTCACTGATCGTTCGCTACCTTCAGGTTGCTATTTACTTTCATTAATGACTTTTCGTAATCCAAATAATTAACCCTTAGAACGCAGTCTTTTATTTAAAAAATGCATTTTCATCAGATTAATCAGTACCTTCTTCAAATTCAATTATATTCACAGACGTTGATCCAACTGCAACGACAACTACTGTTGCCACCACCACCTCAAACACCACAGCAGAAGGTACGTAGTGTTTCACACAAACGTTTCCAAGTTACAGCCCTTTTTCCCAAGTCGCAATAAATTTGAAGACAGATATTATAAAATTCCACTATTGTTCGATTTGGACCAAATGACTTGATAGCATAAATTTTAGGTCTTGAAAATAATCGTATGTATTGTAATAGCTATGGAATTACAGAATAACGCTCGCACATTCATTGACATTACCATTGTATAGCGTTGAGTCTACATCTAAAATAGCTGTTCACAATAGCATGGCTTAAAAAATGACTTGCATAAGTTGAGTTTTCAAGTATTTAAGTACTTCAATATTATTTTCATAACATATATCGCAAAATCGCTTCCTGAGAATGTGGTAAGAATTAAAGGAGTGTGAACACATGAGGTGAGTGTTGACATCCTGCGCTAGACCACATATGTGTGTGTGTAATAATGATTATGTAATAATGGTTTCTATAGGGCACGCCCTCTAGTGACGGAGTAGCTCTATGACGTCATAATGACGTATATGGGTAAGGGCAATGTCTCCAGTCGACAACTGTGATTAATTGTGTAGTCGTTTAACTAAAATGTGGTGACATTTTCTAAAAATATAATATTCATTGGCGAATGGATGACTACAGATAAAAATTATGTCGACGCTTTGAACGGTCTGCGCGTCAACCATTTACGTCATGGAGGCGCTTTGTCACTAGATGGGCGCAATTTATAGGAAAGGTGTATATAGCCCAGTATTTTATATTTACAGCGAGCGTCATGTACTGGGTCAACCCAGTTCCAGTAAATGGATTTCGTGCGCACGAGGAGTGCGTCGCAAAGAACGGCATGTCTGCTGTCATTAATGATGAAGAAACATATGCAAACGTCATTAGCTATCTGAACGAAAATCCAGCTCCGAGTGTCAAGATTTACTTCAACGTGAGCAGAAACTTTGAAGACTATATCTGGATGAACCGAGACGGCTTGCAACAGTTTTTCCCAAGCAATTGGGCATTTGTGAATGATACAAAAGATTGTATGAATCTGAGGTAATTTACAAGTCACTGTTTTACTATATTTTTTTGGGGGGGGGGGGTTGTTGAATCATTCATTATATCACTCGCGAATTTAGGGGGATTTAGCCCGCAACAAAAATTGACAAATCAATTGACAAACCCATCGCACCGGTGGCCAATAGTCAATAGGAGCGCGCTCCCCTTTACCGAATTTCTGAATCCGGCAGTGCATTTTCTATGCGAAATTTACTATTTGGAGGTTACTTGTGCGTAATGGATTTTCAAATGTGAGTATATTTTTATGCTTATGGCTGTGATAATATTTTGTGTCAGAAATATTGTAGTTTTAGTAGTATAGTTGGTCGACCAGGGTAAATTAGCTTCTGTACAAGCCTTTGGAACCATTTCTCATACATATACATTGCATGTAATTTTGTTGGACGTTCGTTTCAAGATATATCATATCACAAGATACATATACAAACCATTTTATTTTGGGAACTGTCATATTTGGCCGACTGGCGGACATTTTGGTATTAAACTTGTTAACTCCCTATATTATTTGAACATGACCATTTGAGATGATGTCACCAATTTCATCCAACTTCTTATAATGACGTACACGTATGATTTACTGGGTCAAAGCGTCTAGATTTCAAAAACAATTTGTTATTACAGACAAAATCGTCCACTTAGAGTTACTGGATCAAACCGCCAATCAATTTACAATAAAGTGATTCTTCAAATAATACATTTCCCTGGATGTGTCACATGTTCCGATTCATCGAGTTAACTCAACCCATTGCGTGCAATACACTATGCCTACCTTTCAATATATTTGTAATTCTAATAAATAAACAGACTTCAGTAGTCAGTAATAATGCGAAAATCTATATAATGGCCAATAACATAGGAAATGTGACGACAATTTCATTTATTTCTTTATTTTATAATGTTTATTGTCTTTTAGGCCACAGGCCCATATGACTATACATAACAGAAAAACAAAAGAATACACAAGCACTGGAGAATGTACAGAAATTGTAAAATACATATATATATATAACAAAATTCATATACCGAAAGTAACGAAAACTCCCTTCTAAGGTTGAATGCTTTATGTAGAAATTTACCACGATTACGTAGTACCTTTGCTGATTTTGAGCACATTAGACTGTAATATTTTTCTGAATTGGGAAGATGCCAAAAATACTCAGGAATTAACTGTTTT